GAGAAATTCATGATATTCTTGAAGAATGGGAGCATAGTGAAAATATTTTATATGAATTGTCAAATTCAGATAATAATCTACAAAATATAAAAAATGAAGATACACCAATATATACCGAATCATATAAAAGTAGTTTTATTTCATTTATAAGTGGCCATGAACTTCAAGGTAATTATAAATTTGTTTTGTTAATAAATCATGTCGGGATGATGATTTAAAAAATATAAACTCTAATTATACTCTTTTATCATAAACACTACCCTAACTCTGAAAAAAAAAAAGCTACAGAATACAACCAAAAAAATTTTTAAAATTTCATATTAAAATAAGTCAATTTCAGCATCATCAGATTTCACAATAATCCTTAAATTCTATATAGAATTGTTGATTTTTTTTATAGATAGTAATTTATGCAGATTGAAAATTACTGAAAAATCCATCGATCATTTCTACGCTTAGAATAGTTTAATATTTCTTTTGTATTATGCAAAGATAATGTACTTTTCTTAATGAAATTCTATTATCTTAATTTCGCAATTTGTATTACTGTATTAAAGAGAATTTTAATGATATGTAGTAATGATTTGTTTTTTAGTTTGCTTTATTAACATAATTACAGTATAACAATAAAATAATAAAACAAACTTGGATTCATAACTTTAGTTTTTAATAGTCAAATAAATTATATGTTTTTTTTTAATGTCAATGGTTATCTGGCAGATAAAAGATAACAAACAATACGGACAAGTTTTTTATTTATTCGCTATTTTATGCTACGTTATATATGGTTGTTCCCGAAAACGACTAGAAAATCTATTGTGTATGTGATTAAATAACGTAATCAATCTTTTTTTCGGGAGGTAAGTTCGATTTGGTAAAAATTTAAGTACTGTATTCGCAATTCTTGAACATGTGTCAGGTTTGCGGCACATTAATCAGCCACAGTAATTTGCTTTGTCAACCGTTTGTATTTGTATAATTTTTATTTTCTTTTACGAATTGAAATAATATAAATTTTAAACTTTTAGCTCGTTATATCCAAAGTTCATTATAGAAAGGTTCATAGTAAAGAGAGAACTATGCTTTGCATGTAAGTAGAGTACGTATGGATATTATTACAGTTTCGAAAGTATTTATGGTTAAAAAGCTATATAATTTAGGGTTTAAATGTGTGCTCCATGAATAACAGACAGCTCTACTAATAATCTTTTTCAATAAGTGTAGATTATAAAAAATCTCAAAGAATTTTTTAATAAACTATATAATATATGCTTATTATATTTATTTGGAATTTATGACCAAACTTTTAAAGTCAATATTTTCAAGAAAATATTGAAAAAAGTTTTTTCTATTATGTACGCAAATATAATCGGAGAATTTTATAATGGTTTATATGTATGGTCAGGGTATTACCCTTTAATAACAACCCGGGTAATTATTACAGCATTTTAAAATTTACATCAATTTTTTTTTACAATTTAAAAAATCATTTTCAACAGTTAAGAAAAATCTTTACAATTAGTAAAATTAAAATTTAAGTTTTTATAGCGAAAAAATTAATGAAGTTTAAGATCGAGATCAGATAAGTGAATGGTCTGATCGTCGACATTTTTAAAAAATTTTCATTGTTGTATCCATTGTTTATTTCGTTATTCTTTTTCAATTTTACCATAAAAATAAATATCAAGGATAAGAAAAGTCTCTAAATTTTATAATCTTGGATATGGAATTACAAAGGATGGACTTGTAACATTTGAATATTATCAATGTGCAGCAATACTTGGTCATGATCTCGGAACGTTTCAATTTGCTATTACCGTCAGCATTAAGTAGGTGTTGACAAAGGTGATTATTAAGCTTTCTAATACGTACAGTGCTATCAAAAATCCGTCGAAATGGGTAATTATAAGGGTATATTTAAAGTTGAATATTGTAGTCATAAAAGAACTGGAATTGAAAAGGATTAACATAAGGCATTCTTTATTACTACAAATCTGCATATATGGGACATTCAATGTTTGATACTATTATTTTAATTGAATTGGAGCTAAAAAGGATGAACATGAGGCTTTCATTTTTTATCAAAAATCTGCTGAAATGGGAAGTGTCAAAGGAATATACAACGTTGGATATTGTTATCGTCATGGAAACTGAATTGAAAATGACGAACATAAGGCTTTCATTTATTATAAAAAATCTGCCGAGATGGGTAATTCTGCTGGAATATTTCGGGTTGCATATTGTTATCGAAAGGAACTCGAGTTGAAAATGATGAACATAAGACATTTGCTTATAATCAAAAATTTGCAGAGATGGGGAATGCTAGTGAACATATAATGATGAATATTTTTATCAATATGGAATTGAAGTTGCTAAAAGTTATAACCTTTAAGGAAATAATAGATCATGAAAACCCTTTGAGAGAAAAAAAAGCATTAATAACGAAAATATCCATGTGAATAGCTAGCTCCCTTTAATAAAAAATTTCACATTAAATATTAATACAAAAGAAGAAATTGTAAAAAAAAAAAACCAATGTATTTATTAGAAGATTTGCTTAACTAAAGGTCGGAATAATGGCAATAATAATTTTGTTACTGCAAAAAGAATAATTTCAAAGAAAGTAGAGCGATTAGAACGAATTTTACTCAGACTATCTATCTTGTGAAAGTAAATGCTTCTTGGCAAATTTAGCCTATCTCATTGCTCCGATAATAAGAATTTATTTACTGGTACAAATATTATAAGAATTCAAATTTCATATGGAGTCATAGAGGAATTGATTCACCCGAAATATCCTTAATATCTCTGATATTGAAGAAAAAAGAAAGAAATTAAAGAAATATTTTATGAATATGGCAACTTTATTATTACCATAGTTACTGTTGACGGTGCGATAACAATTAGCTACTCAGAGGTCGCCAATCTTAAAAGCATGGAACGATTACAAACATATCTTAATTGGGGTATAAATTATGCAAAAAGTGATGCCAAGCAATATCACTTAGTGACTTCCCTCCATTCAAAACTTACCAAGCTAGAAAAATGAAAGTATTTAGAATTTATATGATTGGTTAAAAGATTTATATAACTGTGATATTGATATAATATGATATGAGAACTATAAACCTTTGTATGAATTATTTGATGAATTAAAAAAATGATATTAGATTGTTTTTTCCTAAAAGCCTCCAACAAGCTTCTCACAACATTAGAGTTCCATATTTCCAGTTGAATATAAAGAGATCAAATTTTCAAAATGGATGTCAATGTTATCACCATCATTATTATATGTGCGTAATTGGATAGAAGACCTTTCATTGCAATATAAAATACTTTTGAGACGTTCAAAAATTGGATATGAAAACAAGTCGCATTTAAAATTTTGGAAGAACCTAAAATTGTTCCAATCAATCGAACTACCATTTCATTAACACATGCCAAAAATCTACAGGTCTATTTGTTAGAGAATTATATTAACATGAAAAAAGCAGGTGAATTAAATCTTAACGAAACACCTTTTATTAATTTTCCTGCAATAAATTATTCGTTAGAAAATTTTCAACATTCTAAAAATTAGCCTTCTGATAAAATTTAATGCCAAGTTAAATACTACGCAGTTGAAATATCATTTATCTTCAAAGTATCACACAGTAAGCACTGCCATTAAGTATTGGGAAATCATGATGGACATATATTATCAAAGTTTTTATTATTTGTGGGATTTTACAATGCTCATATAATTAGATAATATTCCACTAGCTTTGGTGCTAATGGTTTACTGAAAGTTGAGATTAGCGAGAATATTTGGGCGGTCAAAAGTAGAAACCACCCAAATTGTTTCTAAGTAAATTTTTTCTAAACTTCAAATAAAAATATCTCAACAACCATTAAACCAAACTTGATAAATTTTTTTTATTTTAATTCTATAAATTTATAGAATTAAAATAAATAAAAAAATTAGTAAATTTGGTTTAATAGTTGTTAAGATATTTTAATTTAAATTTTTAAAAAAACTTACTAAAAACAATTTGGGTGGTTTCTACTTTTGACCTCCCATTTGATTCAATTAATTGAAATCTAGTCAGATAGGATGAGGAATATAGTATTGATACTAACATACTCATGAGTAATGATGGAAAACCTATTTACAAAGATAATACTAAAGATTGGTTGAACCATTTTAAAAATGATCCTAAAAACTGGATAATAATTTCTTATGAAGATTAGACCCTACTATAGTTGCCGTCCAAATAGTTTTTACTATTGGCCCAAACTCAAACTATATTGACCTAAATTTTGACCCAAATCCCACATTTTGTTCCAAACTTATTTTTAGTCCCAAACTTATCCCAAATCCCAATTTTGTTTCAAATCCCAATTTTGTTCCAAATCCCAATATTAGGGGGTTTCAAAGTTAAAATGCGGAAATCAAATTTTAATTGAAATCGATGACGTATTTATTTTGAAATAAGTGATCCAGCAATCTGATCTTAATTTCAAATTGAACGAAAGTTTTACTTTTATTTGTTTTTTTTTTACGAAGTACTATAAAAATTTTCCGATTTCATGAAATGGGGATCTCCAAACACTCCCATTTCATTTTCCGATTTTAAAATCTTGAAAGACAAATAAGATTTTTCAAACCCTCATTTAATTTCAAAATGCGCCACTTATTTGTTAACTTTGAAACCCCTAATTGTTCCAAATCCCAATATTGTTCCAAATCTCAATTTAATTCCAAATCCTAAATTTGTTCCAAATCCTAAATTTGTTCCAAATCCTAAATATGTTCCAAATTTTAAGCTAGTTTCTAATTCCGAATTTGTATTAATTTCCATGTATAAATTTTTATAATTTGATTTAAGCGTTTTAGCATAAATTTTATTATAGCATTATCTAGTAATACATTTTATATTACAATTCTATTCTAGATTAGTACATATTATCTAATATTGCATAGAAATAAAATTTGTTTGTATCTATAATACATCATTTTTCTATTCTAGACTAGCATCATCTAACATTGCATCGATATCAAAATTTGTTGTTCCATGATCGATTTCCTCTTCAGGTTCATCTAAATTATCTAAAATTGAAGCAATATCAATAATATTCTCAAGCATTATATCTGTATTACTAAATGAATTATCTATATCAATATTAGATGATACTTGTTCATCTTCTTCATTATTAAACAAATCAGTTTCAGCAAACATTGCATAAATAACATCAGCTATAGTGTTTTCTAATTCGTCATCAGAAATTTCTTGATTAATATAATTTAGCTCACTTGCATTGGTAATATAATATGAATGTATTTGTGCCATAGCATTTAGCCAATTTATATCCAATTTATAAAAGTTATTATATTATTTTTATTAAATATTAAATTATGTTAAATAATTTTAATATAAAAATTAATTTTGTTGTTTTGTCATCCAATTAAAAACTAAAAATACTCGTTCGCAAGCTGCTTAATGAGGCATTATTGCCAATATTTTAAGTGCTAATTTTTGAATATGATTATTTTTTTGATCAATAATACTCCACCAATTTTGTACAGAGGAATTATAAAAATCGAATAGAATATTATATGGATCCTCATATTGCTTATATGAAGTCATTTGTGATAATAATTGTGCACTACTATATTTTTCGCCATCCAACTTTAGCCAAATTGATACTGCAGTATGGCAAACTCTATGAAAAACTCCTGGTAAGAATCCTTTTCCTAAAATTAATTATAGTAATAATTAATTAAAATTATTATTATATATTATTAATTAATAAAAATATAAATACTAACCCCAAAAATATGGATGGAAAAAATATCCTAAAAGAAAAAGATCTATATCAAATTCTGCCCATTTGCGATTATATATATTAATATATAATCTTTTAAATTCTAAATTCTGAAAAATTGGAAGTTTTTTTAATAGCAATTAATATATAAAAAATTAATATAATAAATTGCAATTATTATTACAGTCTGGGAATATACCCGATTAGGAATCACGTTCTAGAATGATCTACAGATAGATTCTTGAATTTGATTGGCTTTCACATGCCTTTTACCACTCAAATGTTATATATTGTGAAAAAATTTTTTTTGATAATTATTAAGACTGAGTAAGCTTTGAACATATAGTTCAAAGTGTCTATACTATAATAACTTTAGATTTTTATTTTTTTTATAACTACATAGAACCACATAGGTATTAAAAACTATTTGTATAGTATAAGAAAACAAACAAGACGAAGTGCAAAAATAGATTTAAGTTGTTGGGTAATATTGTTTAATAATATATATAGGTGGTGCTGTTTGATAGTATAAACCAAATATAATACTGTAATAATATACAAGAATATATTTTTTGAAAGTAATAATAATTAAATTTAGAAGATTTAATAAAAAATAAAGCTTCACTTATTCTTTATTCATATAGTATATCTCTTTCATATATTGAGCTTTTTGATTAATTTGATTGGTTAATGCTCATGCATTGTAAAATCTAGAAACTTCTGATTGACATTCTTTTACCATAAATGGTATGATCTACAACATCCATATTCGGCATATTCCTAGACTATATTACCTAAAGTTAAATTTTTCAGAGATTTATATTCTTGCTTTATTTTTAATGATATTTTTTACAATTTCATGATTAAAATTGTTTCTGATAGCATTGTTCTTCCAGGTAAATTATAATTATAACATAAAAATTTTACAAAATCTCTAAAAAATGAATGATCAACTATATAAAAAAGAATGCCACAGTATACAAAAACCGGATTAAAGCATTATGACATTAAGCAACTTTGTTTTCATCAATTTCATTGCTATAAAAATCTTCACTTTGATCATTATTTAATTTTCTTTTATGTGTCAAAGAATAAGGTTTTTCTTTTATACTTTCAAGAGCACTTATTTGAACATCTAAAGGAACTTTTGAACAAAATTATGCAAGATGAATCTCTATTTATACAGGTTTGCCTCATTCCTATTCTTTAGAACAATAGATATATTTAGCTCCAGAATGCCTTTTATTAAGCTTTGCAATTTTAACAAAATGTTTCCAAATATACTCAAATCTAGAATGGCCTCCTTTCTTTTAATAACAGAAATAGCACTTGAATTTTTTTCAATAGTTTTTTCAGATTCAGAAGTTTTTGATATTCTAAATTAATAATTAAATTAAATTATAAATTACAAGGTAAAGGTACCTATTTCCGTGGATCTACCTATTTCTATGAATTAAATTTATTAGTAATTTATATATAAAATAAAAAAAACAATTTTTTAAAAATATAAAATTGAAGTTTCTGAGATTACTTACTAAATAAACAGTTCTTGGAAAATTAATAAAAGT